AAACTTCTTAATCTATTTTAGTTTACATATTTTATTCATTCATGTATCCTATTTGTTATCAATTTTAAATTTTTTATTTCGAATTATTGGGGAGCAAAACGATTTTCTCGCCTCCTAAACATTTTTATTTGGAGGAAAATGGAGAAGAAAATCATGAAAAACTGACAAGTAATGCTATATATGTTATCTTCTTTAAAAATATTTTTAAAATGATAATTAGCTTTGTTTTGCTCTTATGAGATCTTATTAGAACTTTAGCAGTATAATTTAGTACCAGAATTATTTTATCCCCTTTATTTTTTCTATTAAATATTTGTATTGACCTCTCTGTTACATATTTTACATTCAAATTGTTTCCCTTATTGTTTTTTTTATTTATATTTTTTATTAAATAGGCTAAATAGTGGCAAAACTATTTTAATTTTTTTTTACTACTATTTAGCCTATTTATGACCGCCACCCCAGACCATCTTCTTCCTTTATAATTCAACGGTCAACTATTAAATATTCTATATTTTTTATTAAACGTATATGATTTCAAGTTAAATATTTCATCAATTTCCTATAAATTAAAAATTAATATTGTGAGTATAATTGGACAAAATCAAAAAGGCATCTCGCAGATGGCATGCGACTACTTATGCATATAGAGGTGCGACTACTGGAATATTAAAACCTAAACAAGTGGTAAGTATCCCATCGAAACTATAGAACCTGAAAGACCTTCAGAAGAATTACAGTTGATCTCGAAAACTGAAAATTTTAGAGTTTTTTAACAAAGGTTTCATTTTAAACCTTCCCTATTCCGAGTCTTCATGTCCACGTAGAGAACAACTTATACACCTTCAAAATAATTTATCCCGCCTAAATCCGCTGATGATTGAAACCTTCCAATTGCTTCAAACTATTATAGTTGAATTTATGGATCGAAACCAGAATTTGTCACATATTCATGAAATTTTCTTTAGTTTGACATCTGATAAATAACAAATAAAAAATCCATCGCTCCTGAGAATAAAAAGAAGTCTATAAAACAAAAAAATCTATAATACAATTATGCGTGGAGTAGAATATTAAATAACTAGAAATATAATTGTTAACAAAAATGAATAAAAAAATTGTTTTTTAAATTAGAAGCAGATGCTCTGAGAGTTGGTTAGAAATAGTATTGATTAGTGTTAAAATAGTTATTTTAAGTTACCGTTTTGAGCCACAATGCAAGTTTTCGTCGGACACAACAAATCTTTGTACACTACGTCAATCTCATGAAATCAAAGCAAATGGGTTGAGATGATAACTAGCGTTGCCTAAATGCGAGACCAAGGCGAGTCTAGGTCTTGTAAACGCAATCTTGGTCTAGATATTGTTTTGCGCAAGCTTCGCAACAGCCTTGCAGTTACGTATTAGCTTATTACTATAGAGATATTAATGTATTTTTTTAGATAGGAGAAACCTAACTAAGCTCGAATGCAAAATTAGAAGCGTTAAATGCAAAAGTAGGTTGTTTCTACCAACTCTTTACATAAAATAACTAAAAGTATTAGTACCATTGCCTTAATTTTTATTCAAAAAATCGATTTTTTTTTACCATTATTGGTCTTGGTCTTGCAACAGTTAGGCGGTCTTCGTCTTGGTCTTGCAAAGTGCAAGACCAAGACCGATTTTGGGCAACACTTATGATAACGCCCGTTAAACATTTAATTTCAAATTTAAGCCATTTCCAAAGGTTCAAAACTCTTTATCAAGGTGTCTTTGCACATTCAATACATGAATACATTAGTAATTGGCAAGAAACCATAGAGGAGACCAGCAACTAACTGGATGGAGCATAATCCCTCAATATAATTGGATAGTTCGAGATTGGCGAAGCTTTTGGTCGGATAAAAATACCTTTTACTTCTTGCCCTTCAGGCTGACAGATTACAGGAAGCTGAAGAATCCATTAGACTTGGTAGCGATAAGAAAAAAGTCTCATCAAATTTGTTAAAGTACTGAAGCAGAAGAAAGAAATACCTTTCCCATTTTATAAAAGTAATAAGGAAAACAGGAATGTAATTTTCTTATGTAAAAAAAAAATCGAAGAGCCAATGGTCTTCAGCACTCCAATCATTGATATTTAGATTAGAAAAAGTAAAAAAAAACGGTTAAAATTATTTCACAATGGTTTATTATTTTCAAAACAATTATACATCTAAAGTAACCTTACCTTCCTAGTAACAAAGAAAAAGAAATAAATGATGATTCCTATTATTGGCCTAAATAACTTAATTTTTATCATTAGTAATTTGCAAAAAAAAAAAAAAAATAGCATTACTTCAGTAACATTTTCAAAAACCAAAAACAAACGATATAACCTTTGCAGTAGAACTTAACATATATAGACCATATCTTTGCTTCAAATTGTCCGATTTTTCTTATTGGTTTTTTTTAAAGGAAATTTCTTAAACTTTTAAATAACCATCGTTCCTTCCGGTTGAAGAAAATCGGTCTAATAGTTTCTGAGAAAATGTGCGGACGGCGTACGGATAAAGGAATTTTTATTCGATTTTCGAATTCTATGTATCCTAAAACGTAAAAACCTCAAATTTTAAAGGGGCGTTAAATTTTTTAATATTTTGGTCGATTACAATGGCTCATTATTGAAAATAATAAACCAAAAGTAATATTAGATTTAACATTTTATAATTATTGTCTGTGTTCAATTTTAATCGCATACCCCACTCACCACCTAAACCCACTGTCATCTATTTCCGTATCACTTGAAAATGATCTGAAGAGAAAGTTTAACCATGAAAATTTTCTAATCAATATAGGAGAAGTTTAAGTATATTTTCAATAATTTTTTGATTGCAAACAAGTTAATAATTACAACTATTGAAAATCGAGTAAATTATAATATATTATATGAGTTGACAGAACGACTAACTCTAAACCAATTTCAATATTTTTTATTATTAATTTTAGTGATATTTTCAGTTGGAAAAGTTATACCTTTATTCACAGTTCTATGTTTCAATGTCAAAATTGCAAACACATACTATTGAATCAAGTTACTCACTGCCTGAACAGATATTATAAATTTTCAAATAAGAAATATCACTAAAACGACTTTACTCAAAAATGTTGAAATTGGAGTTAGTCATTCCCTCAAATGAAAGTCTCATATGACATATAAAAAACTAGTAAAGTATACTGAAGATAAATAGAGTTGTATGTAAAATAATATGAGCTGTATCAACACAAACTTTTTACATCCCGGAAAAAAATATGAATATATCGGAGGTGCAAACATTGTAGAGATGAATGTAAGTAAATATATATAAAAATAATAATGCAAAAAGATAATTATTTAAGTAAAATGAAGTTATGTTCAAACCTTACGGAACAGATAAATAAATAAAATAATATTAATTTATTATTTTTTCATTAAAGACTAAAAATATACATAGATAAGACTATTAGAAAAAACATCTTGGCCAAGAAATGTTTACAATCCATACAAGAGCCCATTACTGTTTTTAAAAATTTTACTTATGAGTAGAAATTTACTTATAACCTTCTTTTCTGAAAATTTCGATTGGCGGGAAGATTTTTATAATACTGACATCATTCAGACAGTCAAGTAATTAAAAATCTAACAGACTATCAATCATAGTTCATCCAGCTCCCGATTTATCCTTATCCTCCACTCTCCTTGTACGCATAGGGGGCCAAAAATTCGTCTGATGATTTTTCTTTCTAAAATCCTTAGTGCCTTTTGGTCAGTTACTATTGATGAACTATTGAAACACGAGGATATTGTACGGTTTATTAAATCTAGAAGAATTAGTTGGTTAGGACACGTTGAAAGACTGCCAGATGACAAAGCAACGAAAAAGATACTTAGAGAGGAATTTCCCGGAAAAAGGAAAAAGAGGACGACCGAGAAAATGTTGGAAAAGTGACGTGGAAGAGGATTTAAGGAGAATGGGAGTGGTCAATTGGAGGATAAGAATGGAAGATAGAGAAGATTGGAAAAAGATCGTGAAGGTGGTCAAGGTCCACCTCGGACTGTAGAGCCACTCAGTAAGTAAGTAGTAACAGACTGTTGAATTCAGACTTATCAGTGCTCATTTTAATTATGAAAATCTCGAATTATAATATCAAAAAATAATATACGGTAATTTTTTCTTAAATTTTTTATTATTTACACTATAGCGTCAAAGTTCCAGGTCCTTAACTCATCTTCACTGATGATTTTTCCATTTGGAAACAATAAAATTAGCATAAAATTAAACGTTTCTACTTATTACTGGCATGCCTGCGTCTAAGATGTTTATTTTCATTACTTTTTTTTTTTCTCACTATGATATTTTATTTTGCTCTTTTGTAGCTTTATATTATTTGAAGTTAGCTTATTTTTTTTTTAAATTTGTAAATATGGTGTGAATGTGCTCTCAGAAATCTATTATAAATGTCCTTTATTGAGACAGATTGTAATATTTATCAATAAACAAAAAAAAAAACTTATTACTAGACAAACATAATCCAAATAAGTTTTTATAAATAATTATGGTGATTAACCATTTTGTATTATCTTTTCCATAAACGATTTACTAAAAGCTTTCACTTGCTTTAACCCATATGAACTTTTGCTTATCGAATATACTAGCTAAAACGGAATAGCAAAAACGAATCAGATTAAAAGACTCACACTTTCTAATCAAAAACCTAAAGATTCAACCATCACACGTTCACTTTGGTACAACAGTAACATAACATTACTAACAGACTTACACATACCCATGGCACAAGATCACATTCGGAGTGATATAAAATATACCACAAACTTATAAAAAAAAAAACATGGTAACAAAACCTAGGCCAGAAAACGCCTAACGAAGGGTGAAGGCTGAAAAGGAGCTTGTTAAAAGATCTCCAAGATTATTTACATGCCAGTTCTATCAATAAACATCTTTTTCTTTTTTTTCTGTACGCAGTTCTGTTCCATCTTTGTTGATTCAATCTATCGATCTGCTTTTTGGCCTTGCAAGTGGTCTTTTGCCTTCTATTGAGGCATTCATTGTTACGTAGAGGCTTCCAGATGGATTGCTAGGAGCTACATGCCCCTCCCATCTTAACCTCTGTGCCTTCATATCATGGGATATTGATTGACCAGTTTCTGTAAGGAGTTCTTTATTGATCTTTCTTCTCCTTGTGTTAATAATCTGATCCCAGACCACTCCGGTTATCGTGCGGAGAGTTTTTCTCTCAAATCTTTCAACACTTTTGAACAATTTTAGTTTGAGATTTCTTGAGATTTTTCGTGATTTCAATACCTTTAAGAGGGAGAAAAAAACTCTATTTGCGCTTGTTATACGCTAGTCTGTTTCTGCCCGTTGGTCGTTCATCGAGGTTATTGTGGAGCCGAGGTATTTGAATTTTACTACTCTCGGAAATGATTTTCCTTCTACGCAGATCCTGTTATTGGGGGTGGATTTTTCGACTTATTATCCGAACATAAATATCCAATAAACATCACTCCCACTTATTATCACAGGCTGTGAGAGGTATGGATATGAATAAAAAAAATTAAAAAATGATGTAGATTAATTTAACTTTCCAATTATATTTTTTTCTTTCGCAAACAAATGTATACTTAGTAGTATAAAAAATAAATGGTAAAATAACGAGTACTGAGTGACAAATAGTGAAATGTTGCAAATTTATAATGAATAATAATAATAATAATAATATAATAATAATAATAATAAGGCCCTCGCGCGGCTCATTACCGCGTATGGGGAGCGTCCCACGGGTGGCGGATGTGGGGATGGTCGGTGGAAATTCCTAAGTCCGATGGACTCGCTGACCAACAATGAGAGGGGCCCTCCAGACTTGCTGGAGGGAGGGGACCTCCAGACTTGCTGGAGGTAGGGGCCCACCAGATTTGCTGGAGGGTGTGACGTAGGATTGAACGCCCTACTCACATATCTTTAGTTCACCAAACACCACAAAAAGTCATGGATCTCCCTAAGGTAAAACGCTCATTATCCGGAGGTAAACTAGTCCCCCGTTCGGGTCTCCGGGTGGGGACTGCTTTAGGGGATTCATGGCGCAAGTTGAAATATAGGGATTTAAATATTGGTACGTGGAACGTAAGGAGTTTAAACACAGCAGGGGGGCTAAAATCGGTCGCGAATGAGGTAAATGGATACAATTTGGATGTCGTGGCTCTGCAAGAGGTTCGCTGGCCAGGGGAGGGCTCAATGAGGGAAGGGAAGTACAATATTTGGTACGGAGGAAGCGGGAATCATTGTTTGGGTACCGGGTTTCTAATTAGGCGTAGATTACTATCCGCTTTGAGGGACGTACAATTCTTTAGTGATAGAATTTCGGTAGCTACATTTCAGGGACGTTGGTTTAAAATCGCATTAATAAACATACATTGTCCGACCGAAGACAGTGACGATGAAGTCAAAAGTGAATTTTACGATAAACTCGAATGGGTTTATGATAAACTACCACGAAACTACATGAAAATAATTGTAGGTGACGCGAACGCAATGGTAGGAAGGGAAGAAGTTTATATTCCGACGATTGGTAAAGAAAGTTTGCACGAATATAGTAATGATAATGGGATCCGTCTGATAAACTTTGCCATCTCGAAAAATCTGATAATTAAAAGTACGACGTTTAAACATAAGGATATTCATAAATATACTTGGACATCACCGGATTCGCAAACACGAAATCAAATCGATCATGTCTTGATACAACACAGCTGACAAAGCAGTATAATTAATGTACGGTCTTATCGCGGAGCAGAATGTGGGTCGGATCATGAATTAGTAATCGCGAAACTTCGACAAAAACTTAATATAAAAAAGAGAAAAGAAAACCGTTTCGATTTTGAGAATTTTAATTTGGAAAAATTAAAAAATCCATCAATTAGAAACCAATTCGAGCTAGATGTTAAGAATAAGTTTGAAGCTTTAGAGCTTCCTGACGAGGACCACGAGGATATTGACAAGTTATGGATAGAGATCAGAGATAATATTAAAGCGGTCGGTAACTCGTGTCTAGGAAAAAAGGAAAATAAGAATAACAAACCGTGGTTTGATGAAGATTGCTTAAACATGTGTGAAAAAAGAAAAGCCGCTAAATTAAAAGCTCTAAATAATCCTAGCAAAGACAATCTGGAATACTTCCGAATCTCAAAGAACGAAACGACAAAATTTCTCAAAAATAAAAAAAGGGAGTATCTTAAAAATAAAATAATTGAAATAAAAACTAATAGAATCGAAAATAACGTAAGAGACATGTACAAAGGTATAAACAGATCACGTAAATATGTAGGGCCCGTAACGTCTGGAATTAGGGCTGATAATAACAATATTCTGACCGATCCGGTTGACATATTGAATAAGTTTAAGGACCACTTTGACAATATTTTAAATACGGGAAATTATGATCTATGTCCTCCTTCTGAGTACCAGAGTGCTGAACAATTAATAGAAGGACCAAGTAAAGTTGAAGTAGCTATCGGAAAATTAAAATCATATAAAGCAGCGGGAATCGATAATATTCCTACTGAACTAATTAAGGCATGCGGGGAAGCTGGAGTTTCTAAAATACATCGGTTGGTTAAAAAGATCTGGGTGAACGAGAAATTACCTGAAGAATGGAAAGAATCTATTCTTATTCCGATTCACAAAAAGGGTCCGAGGACGGATTGTAATAACTATCGAGGAATTTCACTCCTTCCGGTATGTTATAAAATATTCACTTCAATCTTAACCAGTCGAATCACGGAATACGCCGAGGAAATTATCGGAGACTACCAATGCGGATTTAGACGGAATCGTTCGACTATTGATCAAATATTTTCTTTAGGGCAAATATTAGAGAAAAAATTGGAGTATAACGGTATTGTTCACCAGCTGTATATAGACTTTAAAAAGGCTTACGATTCTATTGACCGCCAGAAACTGTATAATATTCTAATCGAGCAGGGGATTCCAAAAAAACTAGTAAATCTAGTCAGGATGTGCTTGACGGAGACACTCAATAAAGTTAGAATCGGTAATAATTTGTCCGAAAAATTTGAGGTTCGTTCGGGCTTAAAACAGGGGGATTCTCTTTCGCCTGTCCTGTTCAATTTGGCATTAGAACATGCCATTAGGGAGGTAATGCGAACCGAGAAAGGGTTGAATCTGGGCAGGACAACATCCGTGCTGGGCTATGCTGATGATCTGGTACTATTAAGCGAAGACGTTGAAACTATAAAACTAAATACGACAACGTTAATGAAAGCCGGGAAAGAACTAGGACTCGAAATAAACGTGGATAAAACAAAATATATGGTTAGCTGCAAAAGTGGTGATACTACTGGTGATATCGATATACATGGTAATATGTTTGAACAGGTAGATAAATTTAGGTATCTAGGTTCTACGATAACTAGAAAAAACGAAATTGAAGAAGAGGTTAAGGTTAGACTGAAGGCGGGGAATGCTTGTTATTTTTCTGTGACAAAACTACTTAGTTCGCGCCTCTTGTCCCGAAACTTAAAAATTAGAATCTATAAAACAATTATCTTGCCTACAGTTCTTTATGGATGCGAAACTTGGCCGCTTACATTAAGGGATGAGCAGCGTCTTAAGGTTTTTGAAAATAAAGTATTGCGTAGAATATTCGGACCGAAGAAGGATGAGTTAACCGGAGAGTTTAGACGGTTACACAACGCCGAATTGCGTGAGATGTATCCGGGTAATATAATTGAGGTAATTTCATCGCGGCGCATCAAATGGGCTAGTAAAGTTGTTGGGCTTAGTAACGAGAGAATTGCTAAAAGGTTAATATTTGCTGTGCCGAATGGTAAGCGTCCGAGGGGTAGACCGAAGCGAAGGTGGGAAGATTGCATTAAAGCCGATCTGAAGGGACTGGGTTTGGACGGCGAACGGTGGAGGGAGGTGTGTAACAAGCGATTGGTGGTGTCGGCATCGAACCTTCGGGTTCGCTAAGCCTTATTATTATTATTAATAATAATAAGGCAGGCACGATGGGATTAAAATTACCTCTTGAAGTGCTGAAAGAGGCTCAACACTCAGTTCTCTTGGATACTGCACGTATTGTTCGAAAGTTTTTAAATATCTAAAAAGTAATAGATATTAATCTGAAGTGGCTGGACTTCTGGTCTCCCACCTCAGAAACTTACCCCGCAAAGCGAGAATAAAGAATGGAAATAATAATATATATATATATATATATATATATATATATATATATATATATATATATATATATATACATACAATGATTTTTCTAAACATATTTTTATACATTAGTTGAAATAGTTAATTGCATTGAATCCAAATATAAAAATCATCTGCGAAGATGGGCTCAGACCCAAAATGTCTAAGATAGAGTATTACTAATAAAAAAAGTTATTTAAAAAGGGAAGAGGTTAATTCTAAAAAAAAAAAAACCGAATTAACCACACAAATCTTCTCTATGAAATAATAACGGAGTAACATATCAATTATAGTTTGTAGCAGGTAGGGTTCTAAGAGAAGTATTTTTGCGAAATAAACTTAGGAAGCAATCACAATATATTATTGATTTAGTTGCAATTAACCAATTCCCAATATGTCGTTATTATTACAACTGTTCCATTGTTACAAGTTTAAATAAAGTTTTCATTTCGAATTGAGTTTGTAAAAGATTTTAAAAGGAAAGGTTTCAATCTCTCCTGGCAATGAAATTTTCCGATTTCCGATATTTTATCAGAGCCTTTCCAATCATTCAAATTCTCTTGTTCAACCTTCTAATCCTCTTCGTGGTTTGAACGGCAACTGGCGAGAAGCTTCCAGAAAAAAAATTACAATAGTAGTCCTGGCTAGATTTTCAACACAAACTGTGTATAAATCTGTAACTGACAACTTGACTAGGGCCAAGTGTTCAGAAAAGAAGTTTTGTGATCTCTAGACCCATTGGAAGCTTAATTCAGAGGTTTTAACATTTATTATTAAAGAAATATTATTATTTAAAAATAGTTTTTCTTCTTATTCATCTAAAGAACATTTTACACAGTCAAGTTTTACTTGATTACTTTGTCCTAGAAATTGATGTAAGGATTTTGGTATTGATGTAAGTAAGTAGTAGTTAGCATCAGCCCATTAGGTGTGACTTTACCTTACAACTTTAGTTTTGGTGTTGTATTCAGTGCTGTTGTTATTTGTATTAAAATAATTATGAATGAATTACAATTTCCATTAATTCGACTTCA